TGGCCACGGAGCGTGTGGCTGCCGCCGCCTTCCCTCGCTTCCTCTCATCTGGTGGGAGCAGGCTTTTATTTTATTTTATTTTATTTTTTTAAATACTGCAGGCTATTTTGAGAAGCAAGTGACTTGAAAAGGAGCAGGGTTATTTTTGGTGCGGCTTTTTTCTTTTTTTCTTTTTTTTTTTTTAAACTTCAAAAGGAATTGCAGAATATCATAGTATTCCTGGAACATCTGGCCTTTTTTATAGCGTTATGGCTTTCAGTATCCTTAAATCACTAAAATGATTCTTGCTTTCAACATGCACTTTGCAACCGATTTTGAGCTGAGTGGAAATGTTAAACACATTTATTAAAATGTCTCTAAATACGGGTTTCCACTTTTTCATCCAGGCTGACGGGTTATTTTTTAGCTGTTGCATCCATCGTGTATGTACCGAGTCTTTCGATTTCATTTGCTCTGCTGGATTCTTTAAGAAGGATGGGTTTGGGTTTTTTTTTCCTCCTTCTTAAGCTTTAACCCTTTATGAGACTGTCTGGAGGCTTTTTTTGAAAAGGGATAAATGCTTGATGGTGCAGGACACAAAAGGAATAATGTGCAAGGAATTCATATGAATAATGATGTAATCTGTGTGCCGCACAAAGGAGATTGTTCTTGTTTTGCTTTGTTACTTCTGTTTCACATTAGAAGGAAATGTCTCATCTAATTACGAATGCACAATTCTGAGACTTTCAACTTCTCTGTTTCCTGCTTTGTGATTGCTGCCAGGAATGGATACAATATATACAGTGCTATAAAAAAGGCTCACCAACTGCAAGAAGCTACATTTAGCTGAAACTTAATCTCTTCTGGGTTGTTCCTTTTAGTTAAACATCTTAAGCTAATTAATCACATTTTATGTATTCTCTAAACGCATGACTTTTGCTGAATAAAAAAGGAAAAATAGGGACAAAAAGCTCACCTGGGTGATTGTGTAACCCTGCAAAAATGCTTCTGTGGCACACTGTGTGCTGCTGCCGGGGCATTGCTGTGCTGGCGTGCACGTGTGCGCGCATGCTCCCGCACCACTTCTGCCTAAATTTATTAATGCCTTCAGCCAAGAGAAGTTGACGTGGCTGAGATTATAGATTAGAGCCTGTTCCGCTTTCTGGTGGGTTGATGTTTCACCTGCTGTACTTTGAGGGCAACAGTTGCTCTTATCTGCACCTTCCCCTGTTTCCTATATGAGCTGAAGCCAAACTCTCCCATGGCTCAGGGAGAAATAACATTGTGTTGCAGTGCCCCAGGGTCGTACCGAGACTGATCGTAGGGGATGGCACTTCTGAGAGCGTGGGATCTCACGTGTGTGTCTTGGGAGCAGCGTGGCTGTCTGCATTTGGGCTACAATAACCACACTTGCATTTGCATTAGAAAAAAACGTTTCCACTGTAAACTTTGTGTTATCCCTTTGAGAGGGCTCAGAGGGAGGGCCAGGAAGGCAGCGATGTTTAATTTTAATCC